CTTCCGGCGGCCGCCCGAGCCCGCGGAGCGCTGGTCGCCTCGCCCACTCATCAGAGCCTTTGACATTCCTTCCCTGGAGGAAACCACCCGTTCCCGAATGCCAGGGCGGCTGCAGGGGAGCAGGGAAAGCGACAGCGATAAGCCGCTGCATTTGCTCCTAAAGTGCATTTTAGTTTCTCCCCGGAGTCCTGCCCTCCGCGCCAGTTCCGCGCTTGAGCCTCCTAGTGGGGAAGTCGGGCCAGCGCCTGCCCGCCCCGCAGTCCTCTCCAGCGGGGCGTCGGGTGCTCCAAAGGGCGCCTTCTTGCTGAGCCCCACTGGAGGGTAAATAAGGTGGCCGGGTACCAAATACCTGGGGATAGCACCAAACCACCAGGTCCCAACCAGTCTTCCTAGAATTAGACTCACAATTTAGGATCTGGACGGGTCCTTGGATATAATCTAATAATTTAATAATTATATTTAGAGACAACTTTCATTGAGCAGGTTCTTTGTGCTGGGCACCACATTATCCTATTTAAGCTGTACAGCCCAGCCATCCCATGATGTAGATATTTTCTCCCTTTTCCGTTGTAGAAAACTGAGGCTCAGAGCAATTAAGGGAATTGCCCAAGAAGGAAGGCAGAGGTGAGACGCAGAACAGGGAAGACAGGCTGCAGCAATCATGGTCGGCTCTCTGTGGGTTGGGTGGTTGACACAGGGCTGTGTACCTACTGAGGTCAGCGCAGGTATGCCCCAGCCCCTGGTGCCTCCAGCAGTGAGGGTCTTTGCAGCTGATGAGGGACAGTGGAAGGGAGGGGAGGAGGGGTCCTCTGTCTCCCAGTTTCACTGTCAAACTCAGTACCTTTCTTGTCTAGACCTAACTGAACTTTCCCCGAGAGAGTTTTATTCATTTTATTAAAAATATATATATATATATTTTTTCTAATTATATTTCTTTATTGATTTCAGAGAGGAAGGGAGAGGGAGAGAAACATCAATGATAAGAGAGAATCATTGATTGGCTGCCTCCTGCACACCCCCTACTGGGGATCGAGCCCGCAACCTGGGCATGTGCCCTTCACCAGAATCGAACCTGGGACCCTTCAGTCCACAGGCCAACACTCTATCCACTGAGCCAAACCAGCTAGGGCTAAAATATATTTTTATTGATTTCAGAGAAGAAGGGAGAGAGATAAAAACATCAATGATGAGAGAGAATCATTGATTAGCTGCCTCCTGCACGCTCCCTACCGGGGATCGCGCCTAAAACCCAGGCATGTACCCTGACCAGGAATCAAACTGTGACCTCCTGGTTCATAGGTTGATGCTCAACCACTGAGCCACACTGGCTGGGCTCCCCAGGGAATTTTAATTTATGCAACACAAACTGTGGTGTGATGAGTCGGGGTGAAGTTCAGCTAGATCCAGGTTCAAATCCTGGCTCCCCCACGAACTAGCTGTGCAACCTCAAGCAAATGATTCACCATCTGTCTCCCAGCCTAGTGCCCCTCCACGAAAGGGAAATGACACCTACCCCATAGGGTGGTTTGTCCTCAGGATTGATTGAGGTTTGTGTATAAAATGCCAAACCCGTGTCTGGCATCTGTTGAAAGCTCAAAAAAGGGTAGTTGCTCTACTAGCTGCTATTTCTCCACTGTGGCCAAGCTCAGACGTTGGCCTCCTGCCAGTCGTCTGCTAGAAAATCCAGAAGCTGGGAGCAGTGGCAGCACCAGCATCCCAGTGATCCATTTCAGACTTGAGGACACGGGCACCCATATTGGGGCCTAAAAGGCCAGGGGTAGGGAGCCCAGCTGAGCCATCAGTAGAACTGGCCTGACTCTCTCTAATGCGGTTCTGTAACCTGTTCTGTAATCTGTATGGATTTCTGTCGTGGCCCAGGTGGCACTTCAGGGCACTGAATTCTCCATGGGACCACAAGTGCCTGAAGGGCAGGGATGGAGTTGTATTCTTCTTTGAAACCTCTGGCACACAGTCGTCAATAGATATTGTTGATCAATAATGGCCCATTGATGTTGGAAGAATAAAGCTGAACAGGCCCCATGAGGAGGCTGTGTGGTCAAGAGCTCAGACTTTGGGGTTGGCTAGGCCTCGATTTGGCTTCTGACTCTACAGTTCATTAGCTGAGGGGGCCTCAGTTTCCTCATCCATAATGGGATCACGATTAGTACCAAATGCCTAGGGGAGTGGGGAGGTTTGAAAGAGGAAATGCAGGCAACGTAGTTAACATAGTGCCTGGCACATAGTTAGGACACAACACACATTAGCTGCTGGCATCACCACTTCTTAGAAATGTCCAGGAAGGCTCCCTGGAGGAAGTGACATTTGAATTGAGTCTTTAAAAGATTAGATGATGGCCCTGGCCAGTGTTCTCAGTGGTTACAGCATTGGCCCACACCCCAAAGGAGGGCAGGTTTGATTCCTGGTCAAGGGCCCATACCTGTGTTGTAGGTTCCATCCCCAGCCCTGGTTGGGGCACATGTAGGTGGCAACCAATCAATGTGTCTCTCTCACATTAGTGTTTCCCTCTCTGTGTCTCTGTGTGTGTCTCTCTCTCTCTCTCTCTCTCCCTCCCTCCTTCCCTTCCACTCTCTCTAAAAATCAATAGAAAAAAATATCCTCAGGTGAGAATTAACAAAAATAGATAAATAAAAGATTAGATGCTGAATACCTGGCAGTCAAAGACACCTGGGTTCAGAGGCATCCCAAAGAATTCAGTGGTTTGAGAAGGTCAAGAAGGAGGATTGGCACAGCCTAAGAGCCTGTGGGGAAGAGGTCGGCTAGACGGCCAGACCAGGCCAAGCTGGGCAGGGCCCCATGTACTATGATAAGGACTGTGGACTTTATTCTGCAGGCAAGGGAAGGGCACGGAACTGGGCAGTTGTGTAATCAGATGCATGTGTCAGAAGAGAGTTATCAGTGGGAAGGAGGGGAAGTAAAGGTGGTCAGGGAAAGCGTCACCGAGACAGTAATGCTTGCTGTTCATGGCTGTTCCCAGAGCGTGCCTGGCATTCCTCAGGAACAGCAAAAAGGCCAGTGTGGCTGGAGAAGAGGAAGCAAGGGGCAGAGGAGTGGGTCAGAGAATGACATGATCTGACTTTCATTTGAACTTCTGCTGTTGTGTGGAGATGAGGTTGGAAGCAGGGAGACCAGGTAGAAGGTGTTCAGAATAATCCAAGTTATCACAGTACTAGAGGCCCGGTGCACGTAATTCGTGCATGGATAGGGCCGGCCTGGGCCTTCCTTCCCCTGGCTGCCATCTGCTGTCTGGGGCCTTCATTCCATCCGCGCTGCCCCCTGGTGGTCAGCACACGTCAAAGCAAGCGGTCAAACTCCTGGTTAGTCGAACTCCCAAGGGTATAATTTGCATATTAGCCTTTTATTATATAGGCTTTATTCAGATATTTATTGTGCATCTACTATGTGCAGGGACCATTGCAGGCGGGCTCTGGGGATGTGGCTGAGAACCAGACAGAGCCCCTGCTCATTGAGACCCTGGGGCTGTTCCCTCCTGTCGTCCAGGAGACCCAGATGGTCCTGCTCTGTGGTCTGCTGGAACCGTAGGTGTCAGAGTGGGCAGGAGCTTCCTCTGAGGGGCAGGTGGGCTGCTAGGCCTGGGGAGGGCACGAGGCTGCAATACAGCCATTCTGGTGTGACTGTCACAGGGATCCTGATCGCCAGCCTCCACCATGTCCCCCACGCTTCAGCCACCCAGAGGCTCCTGGTTCCTCAGACTGCCTGCCATGCCACTCTTCAGCTCCGAAAGGCCCACGTCAAGATGAGCCAGGAGCTCCAGGCTTCATGGCCTCTTTCTCCCCCACAGGGAGGCCCCATCTCGCCCCTCCCCAGAACGTGACGCTGCTCTCCCGGAACTTCGGTGTGTACCTCACTTGGCTCCCAGGGCCCGGCAACCCCCAGAATGTGACCTATCGTGTGGCCTATCAGAGGTAAAGGGGAGCCTCCAGGCTGGTGGCTGGGAGGCTGAGGAGGTGGCAGGGGTGGGAGGGGCCTCTTGGGAAAGCTGCTTTCTGTGTGGACAGCATTTGGCGGCTCTCTGGGTCCCTGGGGAGATGGCACGTGGCAGGTGCTTGGAGAGGGCACTTGATAAAGGTCTGGAGGTGGGAATGGTGCTGAGTGGAGAGCAGTGCACAGGTGATAGGCCTGCCAGGGGTGAGGGTGGATCTTTGAGAAAAGTCGGAGCAGGGCTTGGGTGGAGCGATGAGGGCCAGCGATGGAATTCGTGGGGGCCTGGATTCAGGGCTTGGGGTTGTTCAGGCAGATGAGGGAGGGCAAGTGGGTCTCCTGCAGAGCCCGTGCTGGGCATCAGTAGATGATCACCCTTTTCCCCCACGGAACCTGCACGGAGCCTCCTCGCCGGCGTCCTTCCCAACCTGGTAGGCCAGGCAGCCACTACCCACCCAGAGGTACCTGAAAATGCCAACGGCTTCACCTTCTCTGCACACAGACGGGAATCATGGGAGGGTCTCTAGTGGGAGAGTAAGCTGATAAAGCACACGCTCAGGAGGATGGATCTAGAACCCATGAGGAGGAAGAGGACGCAGGAAGGGGAGCAAGCTGCCCTGGACTCAGGACCCCTTCCGCCTGCCGGGCTGAGCCTTGCATGAGTATTTCGCTTCTTCCTCCCAGTATCACCAGGCAGGCGCTGCGCTCCCCATTGTAGAGGTGAGGAAACAGCTCGGAGAGCTGCCATGATTTGCCCGAGGAAGCTGGCGATGGAGCCAGAAGAAAATCCCAATCCTGTCTGACCCCAGAGTTTGTGCTCTTCCTATTCCGTCACCATCCCTCTACCCATAGCACCCAGATGGGAGTGACAGGGGCGGGCTTGGAGGACAGGCTGCAAGAGAGGTTTCAAAAGAAGGAACTGTGTCGAACTGTGTCAGGAGGCAGAGAGCACCTCACATGTACTGTGTGTGTGTGTGTGTGTGTGTGTGTGTGTGTGTGTGTGTGCTGTTAGGCCCGCCCTGAGGCAATGCATTACCGTATTTAATCTCACACGTATTTAATCTCGCACGGTCCTTTGAGGAAGGAGGCAGTGGCTCCCCTCTGCCCTGTCTGACCCCAGAGTTTGTGCTCTTCCTATTCCGTCACCATCCCTCTACCCATAGCACCCAGATGGGAGTGACAGGGGCGGGCTTGGAGGACAGGCTGCAAGAGAGGTTTCAAAAGAAGGAACTGTGTCGAACTGTGTCAGGAGGCAGAGAGCACCTCACATGTACTGTGTGTGTGTGCTGTTAGGTCCGCCCTGAGGCAATGCATTAAATGTATTTAATCTCGAACGGTCCTTTGAGGAAGGAGGCAGTGGCTCCCCTCTGCAGTTGAGGAGACTGAGGCACCACGAGTGCCTTTTGCTCAGGGTCACACGGCTGGAAATAGTGGGGCGGGTTACATGGATTAAAGGGCTCCGAGGCCACCCTCTGGACCTTTACAATAGTGTCCTTCTCGTTTACACTGTTTAAACACCTGCGAGAATTGCAAAATGGTACTATTCTAATGGTACTATTTCTTATTTTGTAGTGGGAATTATTTTATAAAGAGATGCTTTCTTTATAGTATTTGATCTTCAGAGGTACTTTTCAAATCGGCAAGACAGGATCCATGCTTGATTTTTTTCCCCCTTTTTATTTGCCAGTTTTCAAGATAATGATTTGGTTCTCTGTCACCTCCCAAATGGTGATTGATTCATTTATCTTTTTATTATTATTATGAACTCAAGTATTTGAAGGTGTCTGATGGTTTCAATCTGTTGCAACTTATTCTCCTCAGTGAAGCTTGAATTGTCCCGTCTTTGGCCACCAGCGAACGGCTCTTCAAGTTGGCTCCTGAGTCCTTTGAACTTGACCCAGTTGACTTTGACATCTTTTATTGTTATGACAAGATGTTCCAGGCTCGTTTGCACAATTCCTAACCTAAAGCCTGAAATCAGTCACAACCAAGCCCTCTTTATCAAAAGATTTACAGCCCTACTCTTGGAATTCTCTCCAGAATGTGCTTTCTCGCTTCCTGCAACCTGCATACGCTGAGAATTTTTCAAATCTTCAATTTTTAACAGTTTCTTCTATTTATTGCTCTTCTCTCTCCTCATTTTACTCTAAGCAGAAAGGAGAAACCAGATTACATCTCTAACACTTTACATTGAAATCTCCTCAGCTAAATACCCAAGTTCATCACTTTTAACTTCTACTTTCCGAAAAACACTAGAACGAGATTCAACCATGCTCGTTGCCTCTCTTTTTTTTGTTTTTGTTTTTTCTACATGGGGATTTCTACAGGCTTTTGATCCAAACTAGTTATTTATAAAAAGACATGTAAGGGACAGTGGGGAAATCTGAACCCAGACTGAATACTGACATTATGGAATGTTTAGTAATTTTCATAGGTGAATGACAGTTCTGTGGTTTTGCAATTCTTTGCCTCTTTATACCAAGGATCACCTTCCCTTCAGTTTCCAATAAGACGTTCCTCCTTCCCACCTGAGATCTCCCCAGAATCACCTGGAACATCCACATTCCTACCAACAGTCTTTTCAAGGCAGTCTCGGCTTTTTCCAATGTGCACCTCAAAACTCTCCCAGCCTCTACCCATGACCCAGTTGCAAAACCACTTCCACATTTTTCACTATTTGTTACATTAGCACCCCACTATGGTACCGAAATCTGAGTGTGTTTAACTTAGTTTGCTGGGGCTGCCATAACAAAATATCATAAACTGGGGTGGGGGCGAGGCTTACACAACGGGAACTCGTGTCTCACAGTTCCGGAGGCTGGCAGTCCAAGATCAAGATGCTGGTGTGTCTGCTTTCTCCTGAGGCCTCTCTCCTCGGCTTGCAGGTGGCCACCTCCCCACCTGGCCTTTCCTCTGTGTGCGAGCATCCCTGAGGCCCCTCCCTCTTCGTTTAAGAATACCAGTCTTCCTGGTTTAGGACCCCAACCTTATGACCCAATTTAACATTAATACCATCTTTAAAGGGCCAGTCTCCAAATACAGTAGCCTCACCTTATTCGTGGTTTTGCTTTCTGGTGGTTTCAGTTACCCGAAGTCAACCAAGGTTCAAAAATATTTAATGGAAAATTCCAAAAATAAACAATTCCTAAGTGTTCAATGGCACGCCATTCTGAGGAGCGTGATGAAATCTGGCACCATCCCACTCCATTCCAGGACATGAATCACCCCCTGATCCAGCATATCCATGCTGTATACGCTACCCACCTGTTAATCACTTAGTG